AAAAACAGAACAGTAAATTTCACTGAGAGCATTGACTCTTCCCCCCCACCCCAATTATCCAGCTTATCTACTAAGTGTCAGGACTCTGACTCTCTCTCTCTCTCTTACTTTTTCTCTTCCTGTTCACCTTCCCTCTCCTTCCCCCACTCTTGCAGGATGCAGTATTGGGCTAGAAGGCTGGAGCAGGAGATTGATGGAGTGATGAGAATATTTGGTGGTGTCCAGCAGCTCCGAGGGGTAAGCTGTCTCTCTTCCCCTTTGTTACTTTCCTTGTGGCACTGAATATTCTCTTCTAGAGATGCTGCCTTTGTGAACACTTGTAATAAGTCACCCTCCCAGCTCTCTCCATGTGCAGGGTCACAGCTGACTCTGCCTCTAGTTGCTAGTCAACCTGACACATCTATCATGTGCATGTGGGTTTTTTTTTTTGGTTCTTTTATTATTATTATTATTCCTCTATCTGTTTTGGCATGGCTGCATGTAACTGCTATCTGAGTTCCTAGTTGTATTCTTTCTCTGTACTACATATTGCATGCACCTTAAATCCAGCTGCTTGTCCTGCCAAGGATTCTTGGTGATTTGTATTTGCCTTGTAAGCTTAACTTTGTCTTGCAGAAACAGGCTGCATTTGGGAAATGTGAGGGCTAATGAGAATTCTGATGCTGGGATAAACTGAAGTCCTTTCTCATTTTGGGAAGCAGTCGCTCTGCATCAGAGTTGGGACAGCGAAAGGAAAGGAAAGCTTGCTTCTGCCTGTGCTCTACCTGCTCTGTGGATAGAGAACATCAGAGCCCTACCTTCCTCTCCTTCTGAACATATCTGTCTTAGCTTTGCTAGTCATTTTAAATGGAGTAATCTGAAATACTAAAATAATGCTAATCTGCAGATCTTAAAGACGCTGGCCTTGTTCAGCATACTAGATGTATTGCTCTATTTTCACAGGGCAATGTGCCTTTGGTTGTGGAGCATGTGTGTTTTGGTTTTTTTTGGATTATTTTTTGTCATCACAGTGGTCTATTGTAGGTAGGCTTATTTTTTTTCTCCGTTTAGCTCCATTAACATCAAAATAATTACTTGCATTTTATGTTGTTTTTTGTGGAGCACTGTCTAAATGTAAAAGTTGCATTGGTTTCTCTTTAAATATGTGTTTTTAAGTGGCTTTTAATTAAACAGATGCAGACTCCTGTGTAGATGTTCATAATTTGGCTTTTGAGTGGTTTCTCTCAATTTAGCTGCAACCTGTTTCTATTTACCTCAAGCTAAATTGATATAAACCATGTTTATATTGATTTAAGAGCATCCACACAGCCTTTCACATCAGCTTAACTAAAGGCCTGGCAGGCAAATAATTTACATTTGGTTTTGTACACTGGTGTAAGTTACACCACAATCAGGAATGGACAGATGGACAATTATCCTAGTGTTGTGCACATAGTATATGGCTATTGCTGTGTCTTGCCATTAGGCAGCAGGGGAGCAAGCAATAACTTATTTGCCTTAAGCGAATGGATGGCCTTGGACATGCAATACCCAAACCAACCTAACTTTAAGCTTGTGAAATCTTACCATTGCTGCTTTTGGAGGGAAGCTTTTCTTTACACTATTAGGCAAAGGTGTACTGATGTAAAGCTGTCTGTCGGTTACTTTTATTAATATCAGTGTAATGCCAATTATACTGATATGACCATTTTATCCGTTCAGTGCTTAAATCTATTTTTCAGTTGCATCTTTTAAATTAGGGCAGCTTTCCATGCAGAGAAATTCTGGGATCAGAATTAGGCTTCCTGGTCTTAAGTTTTTCAGCCTGCTCTAGATGGGATTAGACAACACGGTGGTTGTATGTACAGAGAGATGATAGACGTGTTGTTTAACACAGCATCTGAGAAGGACCACTGCAGAACTCCATACCTGTAATGACAAATTCTTTTAACTTATAGCCATTAGCTTTGCTCTTTGTTCCTTTGCATGGGAAACGGATTCGTCAGAATATAATATGAAATATTCTTAGTGTTGGTACTAAATAAAAATGGCACCTCCTAATTAATTAGCACTTGTCTCCTGTTAGCTAATCAGTCAGTTGCAGGCAGAGTGCATCTTTTCTTTCAGCTTTATTATTCTGGTGGAGTAGAGTGCATCCTGGTGTACTGGAATAGCATAGGACCAGTTGAAACTGGAAGGGTTTTAAGTCCATAATACTAGCAAATTTGGACTCTCAGTAGAAAAAGAAAAATCTATGCGCTAATATTGTATTGGGCAGATGCAAAAAGCTTCCAGAAGAAAGTGGATAAGCTATTGAATTTCTCACCTAATCATTCTGAATGTCATGTTCCAATCCAAAAGAACAACAGCAGATCAATAACTGGGGGACGAGTACTCAAGGATGGAATTTTTTTAAGTGAAATTTTAAAATGAATAATGGCTTCCTTTTTAGAGGCTGGAACTCTAGCTGGTGCAAATCAGCTTAATTTCATTGACCTCCAATCATGGTGTATATAGTACCATTCATCCTCAAAGAGCTTTTATCAGCCACACTTTTAGGGAGCACCCTGAATTACCAGCCAAATACAGGCAAGTCTGGATTGCAGCGTGGTAGCCGTTTCTAAGATTGCACTCTGATACCATAACTGAGTTTAAGACAGCATGCAAAAGGCAAGTGTAATGTGGACTGTCAGATGCATCTAGCATGCATTAAAGCATAAAATGAATATAAGGTGACATGTTTTTCTTATTTTCTACATTGGTCCCCTCTCTTCCTCATCACCATTAGAACAAAGTGTCGATACTATCCATCTCCAGCAAGCTGACACCAGGTAATAAGGGTACAAGACCATCCCAACCACCAATA